CAGCCCTGCTTCAAGAATTTGTCACAAGTGCGTATGCCCGATTCGCCCAGCCCGCTCATGTCAGCTGAGCCTGCTGCTGTCTTCAGAGACAGTCCTGTGTGCAGAATCTTTCTGGGCTTTGCAGAACCTTTGCCTTGTCTGCAGAGCCTGTTTCTGCCCTGAGCCTGTGTCTATTTTCAGAGTCTAGGTCTCTTTAAACCGTCTGTCCCTTCTTCCCTGTGTATAAGATTTGCTTTTATTGCAGAAGCTGCTCGGGTGCAGAGCCCATCCCTGTCTACAGAGCTTGTCTGGTGTCTTTGTCTGGGATACCTCTTTCTGCCTAAAGACACTGTCCCTGTTTAGAAAGCTTTGAAGCTTTGTCTGTTGACAGTACCTGTCCCTGTCAGCAGAACCTGTTTCCTTTGCCCTAAGTGTCTCTGTCTCCAGGCTATGTTTCTGACGGTAGAGACTTTTCCTATTTTAGAGCCAAGTTCTGTCTGCAGAATCTGAGCCCTTCGTGTAGCATCTATGACATTTTTCAGGGCCTTTGCCTGTTTGCACAGACTATCTGAATTTCCCTGGGTAGAAACTGTGTCTGTTTGCAGGGTTTGTTCCTATGAAGAGTTTATCACTGTCAGGGGAGCACCTGTGTCTTTCTGCAGAGCCTATGCCTGTCTGCACACTCTATCCTATTTCCACGTACACAGAGCCTTTACCTGTTTCCAGAACTCACCTTCTTCTATAAAGCCTGTCCCTGTTTGCAGAACCTGGGGCTCCCCACAGAACCCAGCCCTGCTTCAAGATCTTGCCGATGTCTGGAGCATCTGTACTGATTTCTCTGCCAGCTCGTTTCAGCAGATCCTGTCCCTTTCTGGAGAAGCTGTCATTGTTAACAGAGCCTGTCTATCTGCAGAACCTGTGTAGGCTCGTAAAACCTCTCCTTATCTGCAAAGTCTCTGTCTATGGAGCCTCTGTCTGCAGGGCCTGTTCCTTTTTCCAGTGCCTGAATCTCTTTGCAGAGCTCACAATTGTTTCCTCAGCCTGTTCCCACCTCCCTGTATGCAGGAATTGAGTCTGTCCCAGAGGCTGTCCTGCATGCAGAGCCTGACCATCTCTAAAGAGCTTCTGCCTGTGTCAAGAGCCTGCCTCTGTCTGGGAAGCATTTCTCTGGCGGAACATGCTGCGCCTGTTGGCTGAGCCTTGCCTACCTATGTACCTGTCCATATCTGCAGAGTCTGTCTCTTACACAAAGAGTTCCTGTCTTAAGGGTTTGTCCCCCATCAACTTTTGCAGAGGCTTTCCCAGTCTGCAAAGCTCCTCCAAAGCAGAACCTGTGACCGTTGTAGAGCCTTTGTCCATGTTCACAATCTTTGCTTATGTTTGCCCATCCGATCTGAATTTCCCTGGGTATAGTCTATGCCTGTTTGCATAGACTGTCCTCATACACACAGATGGGTCCCTGTCAGTCTGAGGAAGCTGTCCCTGTTTGCAAAGCCTATGCCTGTTTGCAGAGCCTTTTTCTGTCTACCTAGTCTGTCCCTGACAGCAGATCCTGTCTTTCTGCACGGCCTGTTTCTAACTCCCTGTTTGCAGAGGTTGTTGCTGTATTCAAAGCCTGGCCCCATCCAGAGAGCTCAGCCCAGTTTTAAGAGTGTGCCCACAGACAAATGAGGCCCCTCTTTGCAGAGCCTCTATGTGCTAGTCTGTAGTACTTGTTCCGCTTGCTGACATGTGTGTGTTTACAGAGCCACCTCATGAAAGTCGTGTGATGAAGGGGCTTTGGAGAGCTGTAGGTGGGGAGGGTTCTTGCTTGGAGTGCAGAGTGCAGGTGACCAGGGCTTGGCCTCCAGCCTGAGAACTCTGGCTCTTGTTCCCTGTGTCCTCCCTCATTCCTGCCTGGCCTAGGATGGACGTCGGCAAGGGCCTCCCAGCCATCGAGAGCCATAGGGAACTCCACATATGGATCATTGAGGTGAGAGGCATGACCAGACAGCAGAGTTGGTGACAGGGAAGAATGTGGGGTCTCTGACACCAGGTTCCTCCCACACCCAACTCAGAGCTCTGGGTGTCACAGGTGGGGGGGTGGTTTCCTGAGTTATCACTAGACACTCTTCTTTCCCAGAACCTGAAGATGGTGCCAGTACCAGAGAAGGCTTATGGGAACTTTTTCGAGGAACACTGCTATATCATCCTTCATGTGAGTCACCTGGGAAGTCTCTCTGAGGGGGTGACATGGCCCAGGGCTGGGGAGACTGACAGCGCAGACATAAACTCTGCCCTGGGATGAGGCAAGTTGAGAGCCCCAGAATCACATCCCACCGGGGGCACCGCCATTAAGGATTCTTAGCCCTTCCGGTCCCCCTCACACCCTCCTGTCCTTGGAAGCACCTTCCCAGCTTCCTTGGAAGCACCTTCCCAAGGTCTCCTCCTCGTGTCCCTTGGTACATCCTCGACCTGGACCTCGCTCTTCACCTACGCCTTAGCCCCGGGTCCCTCACCCCACCTCTGGGTCCTCTGTCCCCACCCCCACCCCCACACACAGACACCTGGACCCTAGGTCCCCCAGAGCCCGAAGCCAATGCAGGGGGCGTCCAGCGACCTGCACTACTGGGTCGGGAAGGAGGCGGGCGCGGAAGCGCAGGGCGCTGCGGGCGCCTTCGTGCAGCTCCTGCAGGAGGCGCTAGGAAGCCAGACCGTGCAGCACCGCGAGGCGCAGGGCCACGAGTCCGACTGTTTCCTCAGCTACTTTCGCCCGGGAATCATGTGAGTGCTGGCCAGGGAGGATGGAGGAGGAAGAAGGGGGAACGGGGGAGGGAAGTGGGTGCCTAGGCTGGCGCAGCCTTGGGGCGACCATCTTCCTCATCGCTGAATGGGAGGAGGGAGTGGGCGACACCTTTATTGAGCTACAACTCACGTACCACACAATCCGCCCGTTTAAGTACAGATACATTTCAGTGACTTTTAACAGATGTGTGCAACCATCACCACAATTTTCGAACATTTTCATCGCCCTAAAAAGAAGCCCCACACCTTTTAGCAGTCACTTGGCATTTCCCTCCAACACTCCCTCCCCTGCCTCAGGCAACCAGGGATGTACTTCCTGTCTACATTCGCCCATTCTGAGCATGCGGTGGAAATGGAATCCTGTAAGGATTTTTCCTGGCTGGCTCTTTTCGCTTTCCACACTGTTTTCAACGTTCGTCCATGGGGCAACATGTATTATTACTTTATTTTTTATTGCCAAATAACATTCCCTTGTATTGCTATACCGCATTTTATTTATCTAGTCATCATTTAATGGACTTTGGGTTGTTTCCACTTTTCGGCTGTTACAAATAATGCTTCTGTGAACATTTGTGTACATGTTTTTATGTGGACAAGTGTTTTCATTTCTCTTGAAACCTGGGAGTGGACACCAATGTTGTTTTGGGTTTGCTTTTATGTGCTGGTAGAAATATGTCTTTTGCTGTAAGTTGCTTCCAGTGTTTTCTAAAATTAATAATTGCAATATATTTAGGAATATAGGCAACTGCCAATATTCAATCATTTCCATTTATAGAGTTGTACCTAATACATGCATATAGTATATACATGAACACATGCACATGAGTTTATGTGCACATGCAGAAACATACATCACTCCCATGTATGTCCCCCTATAGATGGGCATACGTGAATATTCATGTCCACCTACACACATATATGTTGTTGCCCACTTCCATGCATTCACATCTAGACTTACATGGATAAACAGATGTACACTATGCCCACGAATGTATATACGCGTAAGTGTATATGCATGTGCCCACATCACTACACAAGGATAAACAAATGCACACTCATGCCTCATGTGTACCCATATACATACATATATTCACGTAGACTCAAGCGGATGTATTGAACAGACACACATCCCCCACATACATACATGCGTGTGCTCACATCTGCCCTCATTTGTGCACAGTCTGTGCCCTTACATAGAACCCCATTCCCTCCTCAGCTACAGAAAGGGAGGGCTGGCCTCAGACCTCAAGCACGTGGAAACCAACGTGTTTAACATCCAGCGACTGCTGCACATCAAAGGGAGGAAGCACGTGTCTGCCACCGAGGTGAGGGCTGCCAGGGGAGCCTCTTGACCTCTGGACTCAGCTCAAAGTGGGTGTACTGAGGTAGGAGGAAGTGTGAAAATTGGCAGGGGGTCAGGGAGCTGTCAGCATTCATTCCCAGATGGCCTTCTTGGATGAGAAGAGAGGACACCAGACAGACTTCTAGCTTCTAGCCCCACCTCTGCCACTGCTCCCAGACCCTCTGTTTCCCCATCTGTCTCATGGGCATACTAAGAACTTGGGCAGAGGAAGCAGACAAGATGGAGCACGTGGATGATCCTTGTCAGCAGCACCATGGGAAGTGGCATGATGTGGGGACAGGGTGCACAGCTTCACATTCACACGCACCGTCATTGTGCATGCACAGAGTGTGTGCATAGGGGTGCATATGCATAGAGGAACCTAGGGCTACTCTAGTCCATGCAGTGCCCTTTCTTCTACTGTCAGGAAGTTAAAGGAAAATATAGACCGTGTTAGAACAAGACATTTTGCTGCCATCTGGCTGGAATTTAGTGTAATGAACGTTCAGGTGGACAATGTCTACAATGTGAGTGGCCACTCTTGAGTTATGCATGTTATAGTCTGCACAGTATGTGGCAGCCTTACCACACACAGACAATCCCACACAAGCTCTGTGCTGTCACCAACAGACCCACTGACCACACATCTCTGATCATGCAGGGACATAGTACAGCCCCAGGCTTTGCCTATTATCCTGGCATAATTATTTAAAGTACCCCCTTTTGCTCTCAACAGTGGCTCAGTTTGGATAACTATCCTTGTCCATAGGTATACGCTGTCCCTCACACAGGCACACATATGCAGTCATCATGCGTGCACACACTTGTTCACATCTGATGTGCTCCTACATATATGTGCACATGTACATGCAGACACACACAACGCAGATAAACACATACATATACCCCACGTGTATACATGTACAACTACAGACATGCACTGAGTGAAAAGTGTCATAGCCATGTAGACCTGTGGAATGCAGCATTACCTACAGTCACACATGCATAGAGTTGCACATAACCACACCCACAGAGTGACCCCCAAGGTCACATATGGCTCCACGGATGCATGCCTACACACCATGACAGGTGGTGTCAGTCACACATACATTCAGTTGCACATAGCTTCATGTACACAAATGACACATCCCTTATGCTCCCTTCCAGCTGGGTGCTGGTGGTGTGACTAACACCTTGTCTCCCTCCCTGCCCCTCCTGGCTCTGGCAGGTGGAGCTCTCCTGGAACAGCTTTAATAAGGGTGACGTCTTCCTGTTGGACCTAGGCAGGATGATGATCCAGTGGAATGGGCCCAAGACCAGCATTTCTGAGAAGTCTCGGGTCAGTGTCTGCCCCAGAAACTGGAGGTGCAGGGCTTGCGGGGGTGGTCCTCCAGGTGCCTATCTTCCCACCACCCCAAGAGGTGGGCTTGGCTCCCTGCCACTACCCACGAAGCACCTACTATATAAGGCTGAGTTCAGACCCTTCACTGGTAGTGTCCCCTGGATGCCAGCATGAGGGGACACTGGCTTTCCCCTCCCCATGCCAGTGACAGGAGGGCTCTTGCTGGGCTGTCTGAGGACTGAGGGGAATGCTAGTAAAGCCCTGACTGCCAAGTCCTCTCCTGCAGGGGCTCACCCTGACCTGCAGCCTTCAGGAAAGGGAACGTGGTGGTCGTGCACAGATTGGTGTGGTGGATGATGAGGCCGAAGCCACTGATCTCATGCAGATCATGGAGGCTGTGCTGGGCTGCAGAGCAGGTAGCGTGCGTGCCGCCATGCCCAACAAGAGTATTAACCAGCTGCAGAAGGCCAACGTCCGCCTCTACCAGTGAGCAGAAGTGGGGGCGGGCAGGGTGGGTGGGACAGGCTGGGATTGTACATCCATCATTACTGCAATAACACAGTCTCTCTAGAAAGCCCTTCGGAAAAGGCTGGTGGGTTTCTGGGACAGGCCATGTGGACCTTGGACCCAGCTTGTATTCTTGCGTGGTGTATGGCTGTCTTGCTAAGAAACCCACTGTACAGAGAGGGGGACTGTGGCCTTGCCTAAGGCTCCACAGCAAGTCTGCAGTAAAATCAAGACCACGGCTAGGGATCCAGCCCCCATGCCTCCGTCTTGCGCTGGGAGGGTTGGTATAAAGGGGCTGGAGTGGAGCCAGGTCAGGGAGGGGCTGGGTTGGCCACACCTGGGTGCCTGTCCCCCAGTGTCTATGAGAAGGGTGAGGACCTGGTGGTCCAGGAGTTGGCGACCCACCCACTGACCCAGGACCTACTGCAGGAGGAGGTGAGGAAGGCCTGGCCCCAGCTACCCCCATCTATCTCGACCCCACAACCCCAGTCCAGACTGGACCACCTACTGACCAGCCCCACCCTTGCTCCCAGGACTGCTGCATCCTGGACCAGGGTGGCTTCAAGATCTATGTGTGGCAGGGACGCATGTCCAGCCCCCAGGACAAAAAGGCTGCCTTCACCCGGGCTGGGGTGAGGCCCTGGGCCCCTGTCTGAGAGGGACATAGCACTGCCCTGGGGTCTGAACAGCAGGCAGCCCTGCCTTGATCTGATTGGGGAGGTGGCCTGCCCTAAAATTTGGTAGGGAGTACTCTGCCTTGGGGTCTCAGAGAGGAAACAGCCCTATGCTGGAGTTTGAGCTGGGAAACATCCCTATCCTGGGTCTCACAGGCGAGGTAGCCCTGCCCCAGGAGCCTTGACTGAGAGTGAAGAGCAGGCGGCATCTAGGAAACCATGTGTAAAAGGGGAACGTGGCCCTGCATTCAGGTTGAGGAAGCCTCCTGGGCACCCTTTCCCTTCTGGCGGTGGGGGAAAAGACGAGGCTCTGCCTAGGGTCTGTGGGGGTTGTCATAGGTAGCCTTTCCTGAGGTCCAGACTAAGGGGACCCTGCCTGCCCTCAGGGGCCTCAGAGAAGTCAGTAGTGACAGAGTCAGTTCGTTAAATGGGTCAAGAGCTCTGTTAACTAACGCTTCTCAGAACTCGGCTGTCCCCGCAGCCAGAGCGGAGGTCCCCAGGGGGTGGAGCGGAGCAGTGGGCTCTGGGTGGCAGGCCTGACGGAGCCCCCGCCCCAGGGCTTCATCCGGGCCAAGGGCTACCCGACCTACACCAACGTGGAAGTGGTGAACGACGGCGCCGAGTCGGCCGCCTTCCAGCAGCTCTTCCGGACGTGGTCTACGAAGCCGGGCAGGAACAAGAACCCGGGCAGGCTGAGTGAGCGGGCGGAGCGGGCCGGAGGGGCGGGGCGGGGCGGGATGGGTAAGGGGGCGTGGCCGGCGGGGGCGGGACGGGTAGGGGGCAGGAGGCGTGGCCTGTAGTGAAGGGGCGGGGCAGAACTGGGCGGGATGGTTAAGGAGTGGGTGAGGGCGTGGACAGGGGCAAAGGACGCCACTGACACCCTCTGCCCCACCTTCAGATAAATTGATTCCGGCAAAGCTGGACGTGGGCTTGCTGCACAGCCAGCCTGAGCTAGCGGCCCAGCTCAGGATGGTGGACGACGGCTCTGGGAAGGTGGAGGTGAGGGGTACTGGCTTAGCCGGGGGAAGCTGGGCACACAGGGGTAGGCCTCCTCTACAGATGAGCGGCATGACTACTATCTAAAGTGACCCAGGTCCATGCAGGTGCACATCCACACACAACCAGGGACACCAAGGGGCACGTGCATATACACACCCCCTCCCAACAGGCGGCTCATACACAGTCACGTCAAGCCTAATTATACACAGCCATGGCCACTCACATAACTCAGACACACAGCACAGTAGCACTTGAACACTTAATTGTGCCTTGTTGTCATATGATACATATGACAATGCAGACACACATAATCATACCTTATAATTGCACATAATCACAGCCATGCAATCACAGCCAAGTATACAACTGCAAATATAAAATTGCACATACTGTATACCACAGTCGCACACAGCCATGAACACACAGGGACACACCAACACAACATAGTCACACATCAACCACAGCCCCACACATTCAACCCCCAACATACAGTCATACACTGTCGACCTCTCATCTAGTCTCAGACCGAAGTTCTGGGAGACGCAGGGGTTGGGGACCAAGTCCAGGCTCTGTATAGGGTGGGATTGCATCTTGTTGGCTGACCCCTAGGCAGAGCCCTTAATTCCTTTAGGTCTCAGTTTTTAAATCTGTATAATGGGTGCAGAAACTATGGTTCCATCTGGCCCCAAGGCTGACTTGGGGATGCTGTGAAATTATGAGAGCAGGACTGCTAAGCCTATCTATGTAAGGGGTCCTAGTCTCAAGGCAAATGGAGGTCAGAGAAAACACAAGACTTCCTCCTACCTGTGTGCTAATATGGATGGACAGAGATGATGAGTGGAAGAGATAGGGAGGAGGAGGAGGGGCAAAAGGGGAAGAAGGGGGAGACAGAGAGGAAGATAGGGAGGGGGGACAAGGAGAGACAGGGAGTGGGGAGGTGGACAGAGAGAGGAGGAGGAGGTAGGGTGGAGGAAGAGCAGGGAGAGATGGGGTACAGAGAGAGGAGAAAGGGGGGTCAGGGGGAGATGGGGTACACAGAGAGAGACAGAGAGGACCAGACAGGCAGAGAGGGAGACAGGGAAGCAGAGAGGAGGGTGAGGGAGGGAGAGAAGCAGGGCTCGGGGACCCAGGCTCCAAGCACAAAGGCAGAGAGGGGTCCCTCCCAGCAGGCAAATGGACAGGAAGGCAGAGAGGGCCTCAGCCAGAAGGCCAGGCTGCCAGTTAGCCTCTTGGGTGGCATGTGGTTGGAGTCAGCCTCTTCTGCAAAAGGTAGGACTCTGGATGCTTTGGTCTGGAGGGGAACTTCCCCAGAGAGCGCTGTCGGGCTCAGTGTGGGTAAAGGATGCCCGTGCGTTTTTTCCTGCCACATGGAGGTGAAGTGAGGTGGGCATCGCGTTCCTGGATTTACAGGTGGGAAATACCAAAGCTTAGCACTGTCTCACAGCCAACACGGGGCAGACCTGGGGTATGACCACAGTCTGCCTGGCTCCATGCTCGGCTACCCACAGCAACAAGAAATCACATCATCAAATGTGATGAAGTGTTTTCCCTTTAGTCTTTGAACAGGCTTTGTGTTTTTTAAATGACACTCGAAGGCAGGAAATTTTTCCAAGAGTTCCAAGGCCTCACTTTCTGCCTCATTTCTACTGCCCTGGCCTGAGCAGCGAGCAGCTGTGAGGGGACCTGTCACCTACCAGGACTGTGGCTGGTGGGGTCTGGTTGGGGGTGGGCATGTGGCAGGGGTTGGAGCCATCTCAGCGGCTTCTGGCATCCTCACCACTGTTCACCCAGTTACTACATACAACCCAGAGTCCTGGCTGAGGGCAAGCTGGCACCAGCGTGGTGATTTTCAGGGGGCCATGGGAAAAGTATTACCTGCAGACCCTTGCACAAGCCCAGCAGGAGGCACGGGGTGGGCACAGAGCTGAGGGTGAGCCTCCTGCCCAAACAGCTGAGGAATGCTTCAGAGGCTGAGGGGAGCTTTCTGGCTGGGTGCAGGATGGGTAGGCTGTTTCAGGTAGAGGCGCCACCTGTACCCATGGTCCCCTGTTCCCCAGGTGTGGTGCATCCAGGACTTACGCAGGCAGCCTGTGGACCCCAAGCATCATGGACAGTTGTGTACAGGCAACTGCTACCTTGTCCTCTACACATACCAGAAGCTGGGCCGTGTCCAGTACATCCTGTACCTATGGCAGGTGTGCCGGCCTAAGGGTGGGGGTACGCACCTCAAAGCCCAAGAGCTGGGATCTGAGAGTGGGATGTGAGAGCTGCACCAGGCCCTCACTGCCCCCACCTGCAGGGCCACCAGGCCCCCGCAGATGAGATCAAGGCCCTGAACTGCAATGCCGAGGAGCTGGACGCCATGCACTGCGGAGCCCTGGTGCAGGAGCATGTGACCATGGGCAGCGAGCCCCCCCACTTCCTCGCCATCTTCCAGGGACAGCTGGTGGTCTTCCAGGTAGGGTCCGCCCTACTGCCCTGGTGGCAGTCTCACCGGGCCTGCATGTGCCCATGGCCCTTGCACACGCTTGCTAAGTACCTTCTCTTCAGGCCTGGGGCAGCTTACCGTCTCCTCGTTCCCTGGTGCTTGTCCAAGGCCCAGGAGCACCAAGGGTGACCCCAGCCTGAGTTTCTTCCCTTGGTCCCAGAGCCAGGGGAGGAAGTTGAGTCAAAAGGGAGACAGGGCCTTGCCTGGGGTCACACACGGGCAAAGCCAGTCCCCACTTTTCCCCTTCAAGGCCTGGGCAGCCGTGCCCTGCCGTGCAGAGATGGGGTGGGGGCCAGTTAGAAAGGGCCTGCTCCCTGTCCTAGCCCACACTCCACACTCAGAGGGTCCAGAGGACAGTGGTGGCTTCAGGTGAGGGTCCCTGAGACCTGCAGTAGTTTGTCCCCCACTGGGACAGGGAGGTGGCCCCCAGGAGCCCTTGCCTCAGCCTGAGGCCCAGCCCTGTTTTAGGGGAGCACCGGGCACAAGGGAGAGGGGCAGCCAGCATCTGCTGCGAGGCTCTTCCACGTGCAGGGAACTGACAGCCACAACACCAGGACCATGGAGGTGGCAGCCCGTGCCTCATCCCTCAACTCCAGTGACATCTTCTTGCTGGTCACAGCCAGCATCTGCTACCTCTGGTTTGGGAAGGTACCCCCAGCACTGACCACTGACTCATGCCCCAGGGTAGTGGTGCCAGGCTGGGGTGGGTCCCCTCCACGGGGGGTGCAGACTTCGAGTCCAGCCCTAGATAGGCCAATGGGGGACAGGGGGCAGGGGAAGCCACTGGAAGTTCCCCTCTGGAACTTGGGGAAAGTTACAAAGTGACATGTGGGCTGGGCATGGTGGCATGTGCCTAGAGTCCCAGCTACTTGGGAGGCTGAGGCTGGAGGATCAAGAGGCTGCAGTGAGCTATGATTGCACTGTCGCACTCTGGTCCAGGTGACAGAGTGAGACCCTGTCTCAAAAAAAAAGAAAAAATTAAAAATGTTAAAAATTAAAAAAAAACACCAAAGTGACAGGTGGGCATGAGAGGGTCCACAGGTCAGAGCCAGGTCAGGCCCAGGTGGCCTCCCCTCCTTACTGCCTTGAGCACGGGGCATGTTCCTTCCAAAGTCTCTTGAGAAAAGGGGGAGGCCTAGTCCAGTTTTCTGGAGTTTTCTCTAATCTTCAGCATAAACTGTGAATGACCCCCTAGCATGAGGACCCCCAGCCCATGCTCTAGACCCAGGGCAAGGCGGGGGACCCAGACACTGTGCCCCTGACCAGCTGTGGAGATTGAGGCCTGGAGGGTGAGGAAGGGAGAGCCTTTGCTCATGCGTGCCCCATCATCAGCCTCACACCCCCGTGCCTCGAGCCCAGGCCCCCATGAGTGGGACGTGGGACTGGAGGTGAAGACCCCTCCCCGTGCAGGGCCTGACCCAGCTCTCTGCCTGCAGGGCTGTAACGGTGACCAGCGTGAGATGGCGCGGGTGGTGGTGCCTGCCATCTCTGGGAAGAGCGTGGAGACGGTGCTGGAGGGTCAGGAGCCTAACCACTTCTGGGTGGCCCTGGGAGGCCGGGCCCCCTACCCCAACAGCAAGAGGTAACAGGTTGGGAGGAAAGTGTTCTTATGCAGAGGAATTGAGGTCCGGAGAGGGTGGATTACTACTCAAGGTTCCCACAGAGAGCTGGAAAGGCAAGACTAGAACTGAGGCCTCCACCGTCCAGCCCCAGGGACTCCCAGGAGCGCAGCCCATCCCCTACTCCCAGCCCGGGTAAGGGCAGTAGGCAGACAACTGGGAGAGTGGGTGCAATGGCGCCCTCTGCTGGCAGAGTTCTCTCCCTGCATTGTTGCTGTCCTGGCCACGTGGACAAAGCAGCATTCGGCAGCCCCACAGTCCCCAGGGGTCACAGTGCCTAGTGTGCGTGCATACAGTGTCATGTGACGTGTGGGTACACGGCGTATGTGGAGTATCGAGAACAGGTATATGCAGTGGTGTTGCCGAGCGAGTGTGTGGGAGCGGACAGGGTGTGTAGGAGGGTAGGGCAGAGTGAGGCCACGAAGGGCGGAGGGAGCGCAGTCCCAGGTTGCTCCTGGTCTGTCTGTGGGGCCTGGCTTCTGAGCTGCACAGCCCCCAAGTCCCCTGAGCTCAGTACGACTGCCCCCTCCCCCCGCCTGGCTTCCCTCCTCCCACCAGGGAGGGGGAGACTCCTGCTGACCCCCCACACACAGCCAGCCCTCCCCTCTTAAGGGCCTCTCCTGGGACATGCGTGGGGCAGCTCGTGTCACAGCTGGCTGGGGCTAATCTGCTTTCTCCAGGGACCCAGGGGCCCCTGCGGCGCAGAGAGGAGCAGAGTGCTCCTGGAGTGAATTAGGGGGTGGGTGGCGCTCAGAGCCCCCCTCACCGCCTGCTGTCCATGCCGGCCAGGCTCCCCGAGGAGGGCTGCAGCCGCCAGCCACGACTGTTTGAGTGCTGCAGCCAGATGGGCTGCCTGGTCCTCACAGAAGTGGTGTTCTTTAGCCAAGAGGACCTGGGCAAGTATGATGTCATGTTACTGGACACCTGGCAGGAGGTAGGTGGCACCCGTGTCTGGCCGGGGTGTGAAGGGGGTGTGTCTCTGTTTGTGTAACTGGGTGTATCTAACTGTGTGACTCCATACGTAGGCCGTGAGTCTGCGTGACTGTGTGAGACTGTGTCACTGTGTGTGTGACACTGTGCGATCGTGTGGCTGTGGATGTGAGACCACAGATGAGTGTGTCACCTTGTGATGGCAGCGAGACTGTTGGAGACATGGCTGTGTGCTAGGACCCAGGGGTGACTGTGCCCATGTAGTTGTGTGTCACTCCATGTGCCTTATGACAGTGTGCATGACGCCAGGGACAAAGTGCCTGTGGCCGACATGCATTGGTGTCACATGCGTGACTGTGCACGGAACACCTGATTGTATACATGTGTGTGCTGACACCGTGTGACTGTGCATTTCCCTCCGTGTGCACGGCTGTTTGCAAGACTGACCAGGTCAGCGGCCGAGAGGTCATGTGACACCAGAACTGTCCAGACCAGTTATAACTGGTGAGCCTGGGTGAGAGAGAGGCTGTGTGCGTGTGTGTGTGTGTGTGTGTGTGTGTGTGTGTCTGTGCAATCACGTTTCCGCGTGGCTGTATGCCGTGGTGTAGCTGGCAGGCTGTGTGCAGCTGTGGGATCAAATGTGGTCGTTTTTATGTGCAGCCGTGTGTTTGACAACAGTGGATGGCGGTGTGTGGCGATGGGCGATCTTGTATCTGTGCAGCTGTGATGATGTGTGCGTCTCTGCATCACTGTGTATGTGTGGGCCCCTGTGGCACTGTGTGAATTAGTGATGAGGGTCTGGGCTCCCATCTCACCCAGAAAAAACCAGAGGCCTTTCCCCAGCCCTGTGCGACCTGGCCAGCCCCAGCTCTGACCTGGTGCCTCCTGCGCGCCCCCTTGCTGGTTCTGTCCCAGCCACGACAGCCTCCTTGTGTCCCTGCGTGTGCCAGCACACTGCTGCCGCAGGGCCTTTGCACCGGTTGTTTCTTCTGGTTAGAACATTTACCCCCAGACATACACATAACTTGCTCCCTCATGGAAGGGCAGGGATTTTGTCTGTGTGTTGTTGAATCCCAATGCCTAGAACAGGGCCTGCCACACAGCAGGTGTTCAGTAAATGCGTGGCTGTGACCTTGTGTGCTCATGGGTGTGTGGGCGTGGTGGCTTGCTGGGTGTGTGTCTGGTTGGCCAGCGTGTGGGGCTCTGAGACATTTGATGGACTGGGAGTGGGTAAGAGGTGGCCAGCTCCGGGTGGCCCCTCCACCTGCCCCAGGCCAGGCCCCCTCTGTGGCCCAGATCTTCCTGTGGCTTGGGGAAGCTGCCAGTGAGTGGAAGAAGGCGGCGGTGGCCTGGGGCCGGGAGTACCTGGAGACCCATCCAGCAGGGAGGAGCCCGGCCACACCCCTCGTGCTGATCAAGCAGGGCCACGAGCCTCCCACCTTCACTGGGTGGTTCTTCGCTTGGGACCCCTACAAGTGGACCGTGAGTGAGGCCTGAAGCCCCCAGCCCCACCCTAATCCGTGGGAGAGGGGCCTGCCCTGGGCAGACGGAAGGAGGAGCACTGGCCAGGCTGGGGATCCCCAGTGTATGTGAGGCAGGCCTGGTCTTGTGCTCAGGCCCCTCCCGAGTCCCCGTGGTGCCCCCTCACCCTGCCCTGGCCCTGATCCTTGCCATGACTCTGCTCCCAGAACCACCAGTCCCATGAGCAGGTGGAGAACAGCCTGGGAGCCGCAGCTGCCGTCTCTGAGATAACAGCAGTGAGTACTGGGCCCCCGGGCTTCCCTGCAGTGGCCCAGGCTCTGACGATGTGGTCCAGGGAAGGGGCTAGCTCTGCTAGGCGGGCGGGGTTACAGTGGGGACACCAGTTCAGTGTGGCCTCCCAGTGGGCTGCCTGTTCCCCATCTTCCCCAGCCTGAGGGCCCTCTCTGGACAGGAAGTCAACAACCTCCAGCTGTCCAGATGGCCAGGCGAAGGCAGGGCAGGTCCCTTGACCCGGCAGGCCCTCAAGGGCTCCCAGGACAGCTCAGAGAGTGAGCTGGCACCAGGCCGCAAGGCAGCTGGCAGTCCCACCAGCACCAGCCCCGCGAGCAGTGGGGGCCTTCCCCGGGAACTGCTGCGGCACCAGGCTGCTGAGGACCTGCCAGAGGGCGTGGACCCCGCACGCAAGGAGGTGGGTGCCGAGACCCCTGCCACTCACTGCCCCAGCAATGATGCACCTAAGACTGAGCAGGAGGAGCCCAAGGCAGGGGCAACTGGTGGCAGGCAGTGGGCAGGCTGCCTTGGGAGAGGCGTGTTCTAGATAGGGTGGTGAGCAGACAGAAGTGGGGAAGTCCAAACCCTGAATGACACTTCTGAGTGGCACAGGATTCTGGGGTCTGATCATACCTTTCCCTGCACCTTCCTCCTCCTCCCCGCCCCCCACCCCCCAGTTCTATCTCTCAGACTCTGACTTCCAAGATATCTTTGGGAAGTCCAAGGAGGAATTCTACAGCATGGCCAAGTGGAAGCAGCAGCAGGAGAAAAAGCGGCTGGGTTTCTTCTGAACCCAGCCCCTCCCCTGCCTGTGCCGAGACCCCTGCTCGGACCCCCACATGCACCTGCACCTCCAGGGAGACCCTGCTCACACCCCCCTGGGAGGCTCCGGGGTCACCCTCCCCTTGTCAATAAAAGCTGGTGGCCCACACCAGGTGTGGTATGTGTGCTGTCAAGCCTGGGTCACTCAGTGGGTCCCCCTCTCAGGAGGAGGGGGCCTTGGGGCTGGAGGGCATTGGCACTCCAGAAGGACTAAGCCCTCTGTACCCTCACCCACACAGGCATTTGTCTCTCCAGACACCCCGCCCCCGCTGCAGTGTGTGTGTGGGGGGAAGGTGGAGAGTGGGGTGCTGGGCTCCAGTGCTCTGGGACACAAACACATGCTTCACGGGGGATTTTCTGGTGTCCAGGTAAAGAGACCACAGGGCTTGATCTTATCATGATCTTTATAAAAACCCTGACCTAGGGCCAGCCAGAGGGTGGAGAGGGCTGCAGTGTTGTTCCTAACGGAATTGAGGACAGCTCCAGGGACTGGGCAGCTCCTGGTCCCCAGAGAAGCAGCAGCACAGACAACAGGCCATTGCCGAAGGCAGTCCGGGGGCCTGTAGCTCCGGGTGCGAGGCTGGGAGCCACACAGGCCCTGCCCCCAGGTGTGCACGGAGGGCCCACTCGGGACGGACCCCGCTGGACTCCCCCAGCCTAGTCCTGGAGGGCGATCTTCACAAAGAGGGTGGCCGACGGATGCTGGTCTCCATTCTTAGACAAGAGGTGGACGTGGCGGTATCCTGGCAGGCAGAAGGGCAGCAAGGGGCACACAGAGCATTCCAGTCACTCATGGAAGATGCTTCCAGAGGTGCCAGGCCCCGCCTCCCCCCACCCTGGCCGTCCCCTCCCCTGACGAACACTCACCCTGCTTGAGGCTGTTCAAGGGGATGGTGCTCTGGCCGATGAAGTCGTTCTTGGAGGAGGCATCATAATCCTCCACCACGAAGCGCACGAGGGCGAGCTCAGGCACAACCACCTCGAACTCAAACTCCGTGTCCCACCACGGGTTGAAACCTAGGGGCACAGGTGCCTCATCAGCAGCACGGACACCAGCTCCATCGGTTGGGCCCAGCCCAGGCGCGACACGTACCGTTGTTGGTGATCACAGCTGTCTGGCGGCTGGCAATGTCCCGGCTCACGCCGTGGATCTCCACTGTCACCTTGGGGTCCACAATGGAATTCTTATTCTTATTGACTTTGGGCAGCTGCTGCCCTGAGATGACCTGAGGAGAGGCAGGGGACAATTAAGGGGTCAGGAGTAGTGGGACAGGGAAGGCCACGGGCACCTGTCCCTCCCGTGGCTGGCCGTACCCTGATGTGGAGCCGCTTCCGAGCCCACCAGGGCCCTTGCGTCAGGGCACGTGAGTTGAAGCTGGAGTTGGGGTCTCTCAGGAAGGCAGGCTTGAGCACGTAGCCACAGGCCCCATTGTCCTGGAAGCGGCCCTGGTACACATCCATCTCTGGCCCAGGTGTCTGGAAGTTCAAGGCCACTGAAGCAGGACAGAGCAGTCACAAGCTGTGGGCTGGCGTTGGGGCCCTACAGTCCAGCCTGCTTAAGGAAACTGAGGCCTAGGGTCACACGGCGAGTTAGAAGGAGGGTCCAGCCGTCACTCCAATGCCTGCTACCCTCCTGCCACCCTAAGTGACTCACCACACTAACCACACGTTCATTTCTGCTGTTGGAATCAAGGGGCTAGTGTGCTGATGGGATTTCAGTCACTGTGGCTTGCTGGTGGGAAGCCGCTTCCAGACTGAGGTCACCAGCTCCACACGCCCCTGCCTCTGACCCCGCTCAGGTCCTCAGACCTCCGTGCATGGCGTTCAAGCCTCCAAGCCCCTGGCCTCAGGTCCAAAAGCCGCCTCCAGCCCCAGCCAGCCCATACCGATCTGGCAGCCCCCGTTCCACATCTCCACGGGGCTGTAGTTGGAGGAGTCTGTTCTCCACCCAGCCGGGTAGATCCTGCTCAGGTGCCCCACGTTGTGGCGGACAAAGCCGTTTCCTGAGGGGAGGGAGGTGTGGTCAGCCTCCACAGTGGAGGCCTCCTGGTGGGGGCCAAGCCCCTCCCTGCCCATCCTGTCAGGTAACAGAGCCGGGGGTGCCAACTCTGGTCCTGAGGGGCGGGGGCCAAGCCTGGCCCGGGCTGGCCCGGATGGTCAGCCAGGTGGCCAGCTCCGTCCGGCTGCGGGCCAGGGGCTCACCTGATTCCTGGAGCAGTCGGAGGGCACGGTTCTCAGAGAAGGACGCCATCTCGTAGAAAGCCTGCCCGGGGGTGCCAGGACCGGGGAAGCCCCCAAAGTGGACACTCTTGCAGTAAATGACCATGTCAGAGAGCTCCTGCGCTAGCCTGAGCTTGTCCTCCTGGAGGCCACGGGGAGGCCCGGGTTAGATTCAGTGGTTGGGGCAGGGTAGGCACTGAGAAAGCCAGAAACCCAGACACAGAGAGACAGAGGGAGACAGACAGAGAGAGCGGGGCAGAGGGTCTGAGTGGCAGCCACAGAGAACCGAGACAAGGCCAACATCCCGGGGCGGGTGCGGTGGGAGAGGCCCCAGGGCTGCCCGGCCCCCGCAGCTCCCCCTCGAACCTTGGGCTTGTGCTGCACTCGGCTCCTCACTGCTTCATCCTCCATCTCGGCAGCCTCATCTTCGTCCGACACGACGGTGGCCTCGGAGCCGCCTTCCCCTCCAATGGGCAGGAGACCCCCAAACTTCTTCCCCTTCAGCAGGATCTTCCCCTTCAGTTGCTAGGGATGGAGGGGCAACCGGTCAAGACCCGCCGGCCTCCCAGCCAGTCCCCTGCCCTCTCCTCTGGGCACCTGCTCCCCTCCACACACCTCAGGGGAGGGCAGGCTGGTGGTGGCCCCGTCCAGCGGCTGGTCCAACAGCAGGGGGCCCAGGATGGCCCGCAGGTGTCTCGCCATCACGCGCTGCTGCTCTAGGCTGCAGTGGTTCTCCAGGGACAGGATGACAGGGTAGGGGGATGCCTGGAGGCCCAAGGGCAAGTTAGGAGGGCTTGTCCGCTCCGAGCATGCTGCTCCTCGCCCCCCAGAGGCACGCCCACCTTGAAGGCGTAGTCCCGGATGGCCCGGAGCGCGTCGCAGAAGAGGATCTTGGAGGTGAAAGTATAGCCGTGGTAGATGATCGGCTCCAGGTTAGGCCCGTCCCAGCAGTCGAGCTCCAGGCAGCGGCAGCCTTTGCACAGTGCCCTGCAGGTAGGGGTAGTGGCTAGGACCCTCCAGGTCCCATCCTGGGTCCCACCCAGACTCCCGCCCCAAGGCTTCCCTGCACCACACCGGATGTAGGCTTCGGTGCTGCTGGGCCCAGTGAGCTGGTCCTCCAGCAGGTAGGTGTTGTGCGAGGAGGACACCAGGTAGTGGCTGAGGGGCTGGCTCATGTCCTGGTAGACCCGCCGGTGCATCAGGCTGAAGGCGCTGCCGTCAGCTGACAGCAGGTACATGAGGAAGCCGTCCTTGGTCATCTGCCGCTGCGCCTTGGCTGGGAGGGAAGGAGGCCACCGCCTGTTAGAGCCGGCTGCCAGCAGGCCCATCCTGGCTGCCCGCCGCTCCATCCCCTGCCGCCTGTCCTGGACAAGTCCTCCAGAGCTCTCCGCAGCGGGATATGTCTGAGTCTCCCGACTAGACCGTGGCTACCCCAGTGGGGTAGGGTCTGTCTCCTCCTCCTTTGTGTCCCCAGACTGGAGGAGGCCCTTCAGAGCAGGGCCCCATCTTCTCTGCTCTGTCACGTCTCAAAGCTGGCCCCAGAATGGGCACAAAGAAGGAAGCAGGAATGGCGTCTGCTTTTCCAGACACCTCTCTCTCTGTTTCTTGGGGAGGAGGTCCCCAAAGCCTTCTAAAGGAGGAGCCACGATGGAAACTGAGGCCCAGAGAGGGCCAGTGATGCTGGAGCCCTGTCTCCCATCTGCCTGCTTCCACAGGACAGGCAAGTACTGACCAGGAGCCCTGGGCTGGCTCAGGCAGTCCCTTCCCTCCAGGTCCCTTTTCTCTGGCTATAGTCTCCTCGGAGGCCTCCCAGCCCGGTGTGGCCCTGGGACTGCAGACCCTGGCCAGGCCCTCACCAGTCTCGCTGGGCTCGTAGCGCTCAATGAGGGAGAGGGCCAGGGCAGGCCCTGCCGCTTCCTCCCGCTGCTGGCGCTGCAGGAACGTCACTAACTGATCCACTGACAGGGTCTCCCCTGAGCCCGCAGCCTCAGCGAAGGTGCGGTCGATTTCCTGCCGCTTCGTCAGCATCTTGTAGAAGGCTTCGATCTCCTCGTCCTCCAAGGAGTCTGTCTGGGAGCGGTCACACTCCTGCAAAGCAAGGACAGCCGAGGGGGTGTGGTTCAGAGCAGCCTCGGGCCAGCGTCCAGGGCCCACTGGCACACAGACCCAGCCCCCACTTCCTGCCTCACCCTGAAGATCTTCCGGGCATAGCTGTCGTCCACCTGGATGTTGAGCTCCTTTAGGAAGTTCTGCAGCTCCTTGAAGCTCATCTTGTTGTCTTTGTTTTTGTCAGCTTTTCGCAAGCAGGAGTGAATCCAGCTGGGTGAGAAGTAAGGAAAGCACCCAGGAGCCCTGGGACCCACCCAGGTCCCAGCCAGAGCCAGGGTTCAAGCTGGAGCCGCTGCAGACACAGATCCCTGCAGCCTGACTTACTGCACACATTTCAGGGACAAGCCCTGGTGGCCTCTCAGGAAGAAAATGTTACATTCTTTTAAGGGGTCTTTTTCTATTTGCTGGTTTTGAAACCTTTTCAATTTTTGAAAATATTTCTTACTGTAAAAGGACTCACTGTAGACAACTTAGAAAATACAGAAAAGTAAACAAATTCCCCATATTCCTACCACCCAGGAATAACTACTATTAACATTTCAGAGTATGTCCTTCTGGTTTTCAATGTATAATTGTCAGTCAACCAGCAAGTGAGGCTTATGTTTTAGGAAATGGCAAATTTCAAGCCACTGACCAGAAG